TGTTTCTTCTGATTTTAAGTTTGTCAGTCTGCAGTATAGTCAGGTGCCAAGAAAGGACCAGGGTCAGAACTATTGCCATAGATTCTAACTTCTCAGTGACCCCAGGGCTCCCCAACTCGGCCTGCCCCAAATCCAAGGCCCGACTCCAGTTCTCTCTCTCTGCAGAAGCCTAACTCTGGGCCAGAAGGCCACAGGCAGGCAGTCTGGGTGGCCTGAGCTGGCCCCCAGTGCCCTCAGCCCGACCGGCTGGCCTGAGTGCTGACCCGCAGGCGGCTGGAGGGTGGTGGAACAGGCGGGGCCTGGAGAGGGCTGCGGGTACACACCCATTGCCTAATACCCCAAGCACGCGGCCAGCTCCAGGAAAGGGGAGGGGCAGGAACCAGAGAGACCTTGACAAGGGTTGGGGCCATGACAGGAGGGGGAAAGTAAGGGGCTGTCATTACTTCAGGGAGGGAGTGAGAGCAAGCTGGTTCCCCTTCCCCTCAGTGAGAAGAATGAAGGGCTGTCTTCCAATCATGATGATGGAGGGTGTAGTGGGAGCAATCTGGGAAGAACACTGGGGCCCTGGAGGGCGGGAGTCAAGGAAAAGAGTGGGGGCCCCTGGAGATTGTGGGATCGAGCAACTGAGGCGGTGGCTAAAGCCGAGCTCAGCCTCTGGAGCCTCCTCTTCCTCCCTACCCCCGCCCCCCATCATGTTTGCCTTGGCCCAGGGTCCCGGGTGACTCATGTATTGCTGAGCCGCTGATAGGGGCGGCCCAGCCCGGGGAACCCAAATTATAGGCCCAGGAGGGATGGATGCGCCCGCGGCAGTGAGCTCAGCTGTACTGCCCACCCTCTGCCTCACACGCCTTCTTCTGCAACACATTAGGCCACCACCCGGAGGCACCAAAGTGTCCGCAGCCCGGCTACTTTGGACTCTCAGGAACATCCTCTCATTCAGCATTTCCCCCAGCAAATCTGTAGGATTATCCTAGACAGAATTTTGCCCCCTTCCTTGCCAGAGGCTGATGCCTTCCCAGCTCAAGGGGGCAGTGCCGCCTGCTGGTGCTTCAAATAAAAGGTAGGCTTCTCTGCTTGTAAACCCTGAGCCCTGGTCCCCAGCTTTCTTCCCAGACTCCATATCAAGGGAATACCCCTTTCCCCTCTGACATCTCTCTCCCCTATTCCTATTCCAGTGGGGTGGTTTACTACTGGTTTTTTTACTTCAAGACTTTAATTATCTGCAGTCAACAGTGATACAGAGGAACATAAAGTAGGGTAAAGGAGATAGGTAGTAGGATTCCATTTCATACAGGGGGAAGGAAAAGTCAGTGTGGGAACAAACCCATGGAGCCATCTGAGGAAGAGCATTTCAGAAGACAGAAAAGCAGGTGCAAAGATCCTGAGACAGGAGCTTGCTTGGTATGTACAAGGAATTAACAAGGAGGCCAATGTGCTGGGGAGGAAGAACCCACAAGGGAGAGAGTGGAGTAAAATGAAGTTAGAGGACAAGGAAGGAGCAGGGTTAGATCACATAGGGCCTTTTAGGCCACTGTAAAGATTTTGCCTTTTCCTTTGAGATGAGGAATCAATGGAAAATTCTGAGGAGAGGAATAAAATGATCTGACTTCTACTTTAGAAAGAATGGTTCTGGCTGTTGTGTGGAGAATAAACTGTGAGAGCAAGGGTAGAAGCAGGGAGATGTGTTAGGAGGTTATTACATTATATAGGAGAGAGATGACAGTGGCTCGGAGCAGTGTCATTCAGGTGGAGTGGTTAGAATGGATCAGATTCTGCCTATAATTTGAAGACAGAAGGACAGGATTTGTTGATTGATTTGGCATGGAGTGTAAGCAAACAGATGAGTCAAGGATGACTCTAAGATCCCTGTCCTGAACAACTGAAAGGATGGAATTGCCATTTACTAAGATGGGTGACTGGTTGGGCAAGGGAAGAATCAGGCCTTCAAGTGCTAGACATACACTTTAAGATACTTATTCAAGTGTTAAATGTGCAAGTCCAAAGTGCAGGGCCAGAGATATGTTCAGGAGCATGAGATGGATAGTTCACCAAGGGAGTGAGTGACTGTAGACTAAAAAGAAGCTCCGGATTGAATTGGGCTGCACTTCAAGGTTTAGAAATTGAGTACACAAGGTGGAACCAGATAAGGAGAATGAGAAGGTGAGCATCCAGGAAAGCAGGAACGCTGTTCCAGAAACCAAGTGAGAATGTATTTCAAGAAGAAGGAAGCAGTCAACTCTGCCTGCTGTTCCTGAAAGGCTGATTAGGATGAGAACAGATTGTTGACAGTAGAGCAACCTGGAGGTCACAGATGATTTTGATAAGGAGGTGTAGTAGGTTCAAAGGTGTCATTTGGGTGGAAAGAAAGAATAATGAAAACAAATTGGTGCTAGTGATTATAGCAACCCTTTTGAGTTTTGCAGCAGAAGAAAGCAGAGAAATGGAGCAATCTTGGGTGGTAATGTGGAGTCAAATGAAGCACCTCCCACCTCCATGGGGTTTTATCAATCCTCCAGTCCTAAAGACTACCCAGGCCCCAGTGGGAAGAAAGTCCTAAGGCACAAAGGACAAGCTACCCATGTTACCTTGTCTATTCACTTGAGCCATCTGTACCAGGGGCCCTCTGCAGAGACCGCTGGCTTTTGGACTGTGGAGGATGCAGGGCCAGTACATCTTGTCCCTCAGAATTGAATCCCTGGAGGAGTCAGGTATACTGGACTAGGCAAAGGGCCTGGGAAGGATATTCCCTTCAAAAATAACCTCCAGCAGGCTTCATTGGGGTTAATATGCATCTCATTTAAAACGTAAATACCCCAGGAAGATTAATTAAACTTACCTGGCATGGACTCATTAGAATGATTTCTCTGCCTTGGAAGAGAGACCTGGTCATTTCTGAGACTTGGAACTCTTTAGAATTAGGAACTCTTTATTATTTCTGACTGATATACTCAGTCAGAAAGTAACCTAGAGACAGGGGAGATGAAAAAGAGAGGATTCAAAAGGGAGACAGGAAGATTCTAACTATTATTTCTATTTATCTGTCAATTTTGGGACAGGCCCACAGCCTGCTGTTGGTACACATTCACAAAATGTGAGTAAGATGAAAAGAGCATGGGCTTTGAGCTAAAATGATCTGGGTTGTAATCTGCCTCCACAATGTATTCATTTATTAGCTGTGTAGACCCTGGACAACTTCCTAATCTATTTTTTTCCTTTGTAAAATGGGGAGAGAGGAGACACATAGAGGAGGAGATCTCTCCTTCCAGGAGCCATCTGCGTGTGGTGGGAGGGCATAATAACCAGGCTGGCAATGCTCTCTATGCCCCATATAGGTAGCAGCAGCCACTTCAGTAGGAGACCAAGGTGGCCTTGAAGCTATTTGGAGTCCCTGGGAGGGAAGAGAGAAGTGCACAAAAGGAGATGGTTGCAAGCACTATTGACTATCCTAGCACGGTGAGAGTGGAAAGCGCCAGAACACAAAACATGTCAGAAAAATCCAAAAAGAAGTAGACATGTTGAGGCACAAGTTCCCTATTCTGGGTTCAGTTTAGCCAGCCGCCCTTCTCTTCCCAGCTTTCTCCCACCATACACACCCAACATCTACTCCACTGCCCTTCCTTTCTGAGCCTAGTCCTCAGAGACTCAGCCACTCCAGGCCTTGTCCATCTTGATACAATCTTGGTTGCAGGCTCAGTCTCCTCCCCCAGTGACATGCACAGGTTGACACATGCCACAGGGTGACACATCAAACGATGACACAAGGTACACAGGATGAGAGTGACACATATATGCATATTTAATCTTGCCACCCACACACACACTCATCCACCCGTCCACCCACCTCCACATACCGTCCCAGACACTCTCCGTCAGTCTGTCTTCTGGGTCTCTCCTGACAGTGGCTGCCACCTCCTTCCCGACACACAGGAGATGATGCACTGCCCCAGGTGGTGTCTGTGACAAGATGACTAGATGATCCCTTCTGACCTGAGCTAAATTCCAAGATTCTTTGGAAAGGTTCCTAACATCCCACCTCAAAACATGGAGTTTCCGCACAGGTCGACATATATGAGTGCACCATCAGAACACACACACATTTGCACACTCACATGTGCATTGTCCCACTTACACCACACACTCACAGCCACGTATGTGCTCCTTCCCGCCCACAAGCACAGACTGCCATTGCCTCAGGTTTCTCCCCACGGCCAGGCTCTGTTCAGCTCACCCCCCAATCCACCCCCGGGATTTCCCTGACCACGGTCTCAGTCCGACCCCAAATGTCCCCCTTTTCCTTCCCTGTTCAGCCATCGGGAGTGGGGGGCTTCCTGGCCTGGGAGGTGTCTCTCCAGAGTCGCTGCCCAGAACCGCAGCTTTCCTTCTTCCATTCAGGATGGAGAAGAGAGAGGGGATGCCAGCGGGACCCGGGGTGACGTCGAGGGGACAGCCCCATAGCCAGCGGCGAAGCGGCTTGGCTCCAGGCGGATTCTGCCCGTAGCACATTGTCGCCACGCCCCCTGGCGGACGCTGGTCCCCGACGGGCTCCGGACGCAGAGTGAGGCGGGCGCGCGTGGGAGGGCGTCCCAAGGGGAGGGGTCGGCGGCCAGTGCCGGCCCGGAGGCGGGAGCCACCGGGCAGGGGGCGGGGGTGAGCCCCGACGGCCAGCCCGTCAGCTCTCGGCTCAGACGGGCGGGAGCCACGGCCCTGCTCTCGCTCCTCATTGTCTGAGCCCCTGACCGGTGCGTCCTGGTGCCACAGTGCGGCCCGGCGGGGCAGCCTCCTATCGTCACTTCAGCCAGCGCCGCAACTATAAGAGGCGGTGCCGCCCGCCGTGGCTGCCTCAGCCCAGCAGCCGGGACCGCTAGCCATGCTGTCCGCCGCCCGCCCCCAGGGCTGGTAGAGCCAGACTGCGAACTCTCGCTACTGCAGCCACTGCCGCGTCCAGTCCCACTGTCGCGGGCAGCAGCCAAAGCCGCCCCAACTGCAGCACAGAGCGGGCAATGGGGCACTGGGCGCTGCTGCCTGGCTGGGTTTCTGCTACACTGATGCTGGCGCTGGCCGCTCTGCCTGCAGCGCTGGCCGCCAACAGCAGTGGTCGATGGTGGTAAGTGAGCTGGTGCGGAGTCGCCACTTGTCCTGAGGCGCAGAGCCAGGGGCCAGCCCCATCTAGCTCCCACGCTCTGGGATCCGTCCACAGACAGGCTCCCTCCAGCGCACTGACTTGCCTCTGAGACACCAGAGGGGCGCTCTGGAGTGGAGGTGCCCCAGAGAATCCAGTTCTGCTGAAGTGGGGTGAATGGTCCGCCCGCGGCGGCCCACGATACGCCAGGAAGGGAACCCATTGCCATCTAGCACCGCCCTTCTTACTTGAGCCCCAAACCCAGCCTCACGGTGGTAGCCATACCACAGGTTCCTCTGCCTCGAGAAGGGTAAGGCCAGGAGTGCGCACCGAAAGGAGGCAAGAGGAGGGCGGGACTCTAAGCATTTCACGCCTTGGGTGGGCATAGACTGCAGGCCAGGAGTTCCTCGCTCAGGATGCTCAACAGGTGAGAGTCACGGTGGACATCCAGTTGCCCAGCTCCCCATGCCTCCCCCTGTCTAGTCCCCGAACCCAGGGCCTGAGCAGCCCAAGGACTCCTGGGGACGCAAAAGCCTGAAGCCCAGCCCTTTAAAACTACTGAGCCTGGGAGCGCGGAGTCTTTACCTTATTATTGATCTCCCGCCGCTCTCTCAAGGAAATAGCCGCGGGAAGAGTAGGGAAGCACGACCTTTTTGGTTAGGATGCAGGTTCCCTTCCACATCTTGAGCTCCTATCATACATCTCACCAGGGGCATCGTGAACGTAGCCTCCTCCACAAACCTGCTGACCGACTCCAAGAGTCTGCAACTGGTGCTCGAGCCTAGTCTGCAGCTGCTGAGCCGCAAACAGCGGAGGCTGATCCGCCAGAACCCGGGGATCCTGCATAGCGTGAGCGGAGGGCTGCAGAGCGCTGTTCGAGAATGCAAGTGGCAGTTTCGCAACCGCCGCTGGAACTGCCCCACCGCTTCGGGGCCCCATCTCTTCGGCAAGATCGTCAATCGAGGTGGGTACCCAGGAAGGTAACGCTTCCGGGACCAGGGTAAAGTGGTGTCACCCTAGGGCATGGGCAGGTGAGTGCAGGGAAGATGTCCCGGGCGCCTTCAGCGTCCACGATCAACACTCCAAGAGCTTTCAAGCACAGCGCCAGCTCCGGGCCAGTCGCGTTCTACCAGGCGCTTTCAAGCCGTGCACCTCGGACACGAAGCTTAACTTTTCTGAACCACTGCCCCAGAGAAAGGGAGCTCTGAGTCCTGGCCACTGGCCACTGCTTTCCGCAGCCCCTCTCAAAGGCGTCTGGGAAGCTGCTCTGAGATTTAGTCATGTGTCTTCCCTCTAGCCCAGCAGGGCTTTCATCGCTGACATAGGCCAAAAGTTTGGACAGCGGATATGTCTTGGCGGTTCAGAGTTCTTCCATTCCCCTCTTTACTCTTTTTCTCTTTGGGGCTGCCCCAGTTCCCCTGAGGAGTCAAAATGCACCCCATCCTCAGTAACGCATGATGACAAGCGTGGACCGGGTTGCATGCCCGCGTATGTGTTTTCTCTCTGAGAACGGCTTTCCGACACAGCCCGCCGGGCGCCTGGCTCTCAGGACTGTAAGGGCGGAGTCGGGACTTGGGACTCAAGGGTCCCAAGCCCTCCCTGAGGGAGCTGGCCGCACCCCCTCGCTGATCCCTGCTCCCTTCCCTCACAGGCTGTCGAGAAACAGCATTTATCTTCGCCATAACCTCGGCCGGGGTTACCCATTCGGTGGCGCGCTCCTGTTCTGAGGGCTCCATCGAGTCCTGCACGTGCGACTATCGGCGGCGTGGTCCTGGGGGGCCCGATTGGCATTGGGGGGGCTGCAGCGACAACATCGATTTCGGCCGCCTTTTCGGCAGAGAGTTTGTGGACTCCGGGGAGAAGGGGCGGGACCTGCGCTTCCTCATGAACCTCCACAACAACGAGGCGGGCCGCACGGTGAGGGGGCTTGAGGGGCTCCGCACTCGATGTGCAGTGTCAGGGCTCCCCGAATCCCTGAGCAGGGGCAAACCTCGGACTTGGGAAGTAACAGGCCGCGATAAGGCCAGGGGTTAGGGTAAAGAACCAGGAGTGGCCGTCCTAAGGGAGCGAGAGGTTTGGAAGGAAACCAGAGAATGGAAGAGAGTGGCTGAGGGCATGTAGAACCGCAGAGGTTGTAAGTCATGCAGCCCATGGAATGTATTGCCTACAGGCCCCTGTATTGCACAGACTCCAAAAACGAGGCTGAGGCAGAGAGCAGAGGTGGGCCTGGTGTCTAAATATCTGCGGGATATTTCGCTCTTCCTTTCCGCTGGGCGCGGCTAGGGCTGGGCCTTTGCAGAGGTCCCGGCAACGTCAGGAAGGGGGCGGTATCTAGGATGGTGGCCCTGGCTCTGAATGTGCCCTGTCTTTCCCCCAGACCGTGTTCTCCGAGATGCGCCAGGAGTGCAAGTGCCACGGGATGTCCGGCTCGTGCACAGTGCGCACGTGCTGGATGCGGCTGCCCACGCTGCGCGCCGTGGGCGACGTGCTGCGCGACCGCTTCGACGGTGCCTCGCGCGTCCTCTATGGCAACCGCGGCAGCAACCGCGCCTCGCGGGCGGAACTGCTGCGCCTTGAGCCTGAAGATCCCGCGCACAAGCCGCCCTCCCCACACGACCTCGTCTACTTCGAGAAATCGCCCAATTTCTGCACATACAGCGGACGCCTGGGTACAGCTGGCACGGCGGGGCGCGCCTGCAACAGCTCGTCTCCCGCTCTGGACGGCTGCGAGCTGCTTTGCTGTGGCCGGGGCCACCGCACGCGTACACAGCGCGTCACCGAGCGCTGCAACTGCACCTTCCACTGGTGCTGCCACGTCAGCTGCCGCAACTGCACGCACACGCGCGTTCTGCACGAGTGTCTGTGAGGTTCAGCGCGCACTCGCCCCCAGCAGCCTTCTCCTCAAGCCCAGCCCCAGATTCGCTGGCACCTAACACCCCGATATGCACCCACCAAGTCCCTCCAGACTGCCACATTCCCTGCGATTCTTACTTACCCGATCATTTCTCCCACCTCCTCCTACCTGGGGACTCCTGAAACCACTTGCCTGGGGCGGAATGAACCCTCTTGACTTACTGATGAACCTGCCCCAACCTACCTCCCTCCCTCTCCGCGGGAGACCCCTTTTTGCACTGCCCCCTGCTTGGCCAGGAGGTGAGAGAAGGATTTGTACCCTACCCCGTCGGAATCAGCTCCTGAAGATATTGCTCTGCCTTCTCCAATGAGCCAGCGACCTGCCTGCCTCTCTCCCTTCCCTTTATCCTCTGTTTTCTCCAGGTCCCCACATGCTCTTCCAATTCTCCTGCCAAGGGTGCAGACCCTAAACAACACCTGGGCATCAGGGCCCTTCTCCTCCCCACCTACAGCTGAAGCTGGGAGGTGCCAGGGTGAAAGGGCAGCTGTGGTGATGTGGAAAATGAGGTTGGGAGACCCAGCAGATATACCCCCATTCTCTCAGCCTTTGTGGTGGAGCTACTGAACAGCTGTGAACCATGCCTCCCTCAGTCACCTCCTACACCTTCCTGTCCTGCCTCCTCATCAGTGTGTAAATAATTTGCACTGAAACGTGGATACAAAGCCACGAGTTTGGTGGTTGTAAATAAAACTATTTATTGTGCTGGGTTCCAGCCTGGTTTGCAGAAACCACTTTCATCCCTATTCAGTCCCTCTCCATTATTCTCTCCTTTTGCCCTCCAGCCTTTTCTGATCTCTCTTCTCCTCTCCCCAACATTTCAAAGATGCCTTTGCCTACCGGAATCAGTATTTCCTTCCACTGTAGCTATTAGTGGCTCCTCGCCCCCACCAATGTAGTATCTTCCTCTGCAGAATAAAATCTCTATTTTTATCAATGACTTAGCGGTTTTTCCTTGAGTCCAGAGCACACTATTGCTTACCTCTCTTAAACAAATGGGATACATTGTTGGGAGGTTTCCTGGCCCTCTGATTATGACCCTTGGATGACCCTAATAAGACCACTGGGGATCCAGGTTTCCAGAAGAATCTGGTCAGGAGCCAAAAGACCTGCAGTGTTCTTCTTTCTATTCCTACACCAACTGGCTGTATGATAGTGGGCGAGTCCATAACTGCAACTGCTTCAGTTTCTTCCCTTGCTGAATGGGGATTAAACAACTGTGCCTACTTTTCCTATCTGGAGGAATTGTGAAAATGGCTACTACTGAGTGATAACCATCACTATGTTCTGCAAAGAAACCGAAGAAAGAGAAACCCACGCAGAGAGGGTGCCACTGCCCCTGGTGTAGAGCTTTTGGTCTCTGAAGCCCATTTGCTTCAGCTGTGGTCAGGGCACTGGACAGCAGGGAAAGTAATCCCCTCCTCAAGACAAGGCAACACTTTGTTAGGGCCCCAGCTCCCAACTTTGGGCTCAAGAGGACCCAGATAACAGATGAAGGGCTCTAGTCCTGGACCCAAAAGCTCAGAGATAATGGTCGGAGAGAAGAAAAGAACAGGAGGGCTAGAAACCTAATAGAGGCTAGGCTTAAACCAATGTAACCAAAAGGAAACCCAGATGTGGTCCATAACCAAGCTGTTAAGCCAGCTGTTCCCATAAAGAGGATTCTATTGCTAACAACACCGACAGGAGTACTAATCCAGCCCACAGTCCTAAACCTATCTTTAACTCTAATCCTCTCCCGTCCCTAGGTCTATGTCTAACCTTAGCCTTAACCCTAACTTCAGCAAACACTAACCCCTTCCAAAGCTTTAATGCCTGCCCTAATCCTTAGACTTCACTGCAGGGAGGACCCAAAGGTCAGGGGGAGCTATGAGGGACCCCACCCCCAAGGGCAACAACTGATCCCAGCCGACTGGAGAATTTCCCCTCTCCCCAGGACTCTTGTGCTGTTCTTGCTGCCTCCCACCTCTCCCTGGATGTGTGAACTCTGACCCCTGTTGGCCTTTGGGATGGGTGTGGGGGTAGGGGAATGGAGTCAGGAGCTGCTCATCCCTGTGAAGCATCCTTTCCCCTTTCACTCCATCTGCCATGCTAGCACCAGCTCAGCTCTGAAGGCAGCTGAGGGGGAGGAACAGAAACTACTGATCCTAGGTAGATGGCACCAGAGAGGCCTTGGGTTTCCAGTAAAGAAGCCCTGCAGAGAATGTCCAGTCTATAATCCAATGAGTTGTTAGATCTCCCAGCTTCCAAAACAAGAAGTTAATGGGCTGCCAGAGGCAGAAGAGGGGCCTTGGGCCCCTGCTAGACAGCACCCAAACTAGGGAGAAGCATCAGGGTGGGAAGTCAAGGGGTTGGCACTGTTCCAGCCATTCTCACTTAACTTCTAATTACAAGACCTAGACTGGAAACTGCTTTCAGGCCCAGAAGCTAGGCAGCTCTGGGCTGAGCTGACATGTAGGAGCCAGAAGAAAAGTTAGGAAAAGTAGTGAATCCTATTCTGGCCCTAACTGAACCCTCAACAAATCTGTTGCTTTCTCAGCGTCCAGTGCCTTGTCTATTAAACAGGGTGGTTATTGATACCTACTCTCCTTCAGGAAGGTGATGAGGTTTGGATGAGATCATGTACATGAAAACTCAGGCCATTTGAACACTTGCAGACACCTCTTCTGTGTTAGGCATATGCCAAATGCTGGGGATACAGTGATGTTCGAAACATAGTGCTGTTGGGAGGGATTTCCAGGATGGTCAGGGAATCAAGCACACCAGCAGATTTTGTTGGAAAATGAGGGCAGTGTGATGCAGGCTCAGTGAAGTGTAAAGCCCTCTGAGCATGCATGCGATTTAGGGACGGACTCCCATACTCAAGTCCTCCACATGGAGACCCTACACTTCCAGGGGCTGGGACCTTGCAGGGGTTAGGGTAGAGCAGTGTAGGTGTGGCTCTCAAGTGGCATGCACTAATAAAACAAACAAACAAAAAGTGACCAAAAGGGCTTTAGGATATACAAAGCTAATAGCTACATAGGAGCTAATTATTTTGTTATAATGATTATCTGTGCCATCCTCACATAGGGCTAGAGCAGGTAAATCCAGGGGAGAAAAGCAGCTATGCCTAGAAAGAGGCCTCATTAAGGTCTCAGGGCCCAGAGCCTGCTCAGGGGGTTGCCATAGGATACTGTTCTCAAGAATGGGTCTGATGCCCCAGCTCTGCCCCATCCACCCAGGCTATCCTCCCCCACCTCTGATCTTCAGGTCCCAGGTGCCACACTCCCAGGGAGATCTGAGGCTGCCAGAGACCCCGGATGCAAGGTTGGCCTCAGCAAGTGAGGGAGGCACTCGTCCTGAAATATCCTGGGGGGAGTGGAAAAGCTGAGCGGACTAAGCCAGCAGGTCTGCACAGTCCCTGGGGGGTCAGCAAGCTGGCACCACACACACCCTGCCACACGCACCCTGGAAAAACCCTGTCAGTGGGGCTGCAAATACCCCAGGGTCTAGCCCCCTCCCCCCCACCTCAGGCTGGCTCAGTTCTCTCCAGTCCAGAGGGAGAAAAATAACAAAATGAGGAGAAAATAAGCTGTTTGGCTGTGGTGTGAGCAGGAATATCCATACAGAGCTGCCCACCACTCACCCTTACTCACTCTTTCCACACCCAGCCAGGGCGCCCAGCATGAGACAGACCACCCCCCTTCCCCCTCCCCCGTCTGGGCTAAAAGCAGACGCTGGTGAGCGAGCAGCAGGTTATAAATATGCCCAGGGAACTGCCGCCAACTTGCTCCCTTGTCATTCCCTGGGAGGGGATAGGGTGGGGTGGCTCCTTGGGAGGAGTCGGGGCTGCCCTGTTCCCTGGGGCCCAGGAAGAAGTAGGGCTTCCAAGAGGCTACTGTATTTTTTTTTTTTTTGCCCTTTTCAAAGGGAAAGAACCACTGCCACTTCATTTTTCCTGGACGTATGCTCATTGGCTCAGGGGTGGGGGTCCCTATCCTTCCTGAGCCATGGCTGAGAGCTCAGAAAGGGCCCGAGGCCACTCAGTCTGTGTCAACTGTGCAACCCAGTGACACTTCGTGCCCACTTACTCTCAGCAAAACCGAAGTTCATTCATTCCTTCAACAAGCATTTCTGAGGGCCTGCTGAACACCAGGCTCTGTGCAGAAGCACAGCTGCCTGCCCAAGTGCATGCACAGCAGCCGCCACTCCCGGGCGTTCACACCAACAGGCCCCAGCTGCAGACTTATTGGCTTTAACTTAGCAGCCTCATTAAGAAGGGTAAATCTTCAGGCTCCTGGTTCCTCCTTCAGGCTCCTCAGAGTAAGCTGGCAAGGAGTGTTGAGAACAGGGCTCCTAAACATTCCTGCTTCCACTACTTCCCTGATAAATGAGAGGGTCCTTTCCCTCCTCCTTCCTCAGTCATCCTCCCAATGTAGGAGCCATGTGAGAAAGAAAGAGCCACTCTCTGGGATGCTGAGGGCCACCTGCCCATGCTGCCAGAGCCTCCTGCCTCCCAGCTACTTGCCAAGTAGGTGCCAAGCTTAGCAAAAAGGGGCAGTGCCACCCTGGGAAGCTTCCAGCTCTCCTCCCTGGGGGCTGAACCCCTCCCTCCTCCCTATTAATCCTCGGAAGTGAAGGGGCCGTCCCTGGAGGCCCCTCAGCCCTATTGTGGCCCCTCGCCCTCCTCGGCTGTCGTCTAATTAACTCCTCCTGCCCCTGGTTTTGTCTGCCCCCCTTACCCCACCTTGTCGGCCCCGCCCCTCCGCTCGGCCTGCTCCCCACCACGGACATTCCAGCCCGGCCGGGCTGCTGTGCCAGGGCAACCAGGGCCGGACCGAGGCCTAATCCCCCCGCCGCCTGGCTGGGCTAGGGGTGCCCCACTCACCTCCCTGCTCTCTGGGGGCTGCCCGGCTCTGCTGTGGCGGAGACACACAATTGGGACAAAGGCGCAACCCCCAGGGGGCTAACTCAGCCTTCACGCCCAGGTTGTGCGGCATTTGGGGAGTTTAATGAATTGTCCATCATGCCTTTCAGGGCCCGCCCGTCAGCCTGGATTAATCTTCGGAGCCCTGGTGGGGTAGGAGACACTAAGCCTGTATTTATTACTCTCCCATTGTCACTAATTGAGGTAATTATCTGTGACTCTGGCCTGGCCAACAATGCAGCATTCACTCCTGGGACCTCGATGGGCCTGGCTCCCACTCTCAACACCAACCCTCCCTCCTCTCCTCTCCTCTTCCAAACCCGCCAAGGGCTAAGTTGAGCCCCGGAGCATGTTGGGAAAGTGGACAATGTCCCACAATGCCTCACCTTCCAACCAGTGTCTCCGGTACCCACCACTATGGAATTTCAGATAGGGAGAAGCCTGGTCCCCGATAGCAGATGAGAAAAGAAGGCAGCCTGTCTAAGGACAGGTTTGGCTGGCAGAGCCCTCAGGCCACAGAGGAGCACATTTTTGATGCCTTTGGTTTTCTAGATTCTCCAACACCTCATCTCTGGACTGGTGGCACCAAGGTCTCACAGAGTCGTTGTGTGCATCCATCCTCATGTCCTTGTAGCCTCCAAGCTATAGGGTATTAGGAGGCCCTAATCCATACTGGGTATACTCTGGGAAGAGTGGGTGTGAATATGATGGGGGAGGTTAGAAGAAAGAATAGGAAAGAGCTTGTTAGGGAGTTCGGGGAGAGCAAGAGGAGCCATCCTGGGAAGGAGCAGCCAGGGGTTACACTAATGTGGCCATGCAGCACCATTAGGGATAAACTTGGATTTGGAGGGGTAGCAGTGTCACAAAGTAGATTTCATGTAGAGATGGCTTCCCAGGTCAAGGGGATCAGCCCTGGGCAACAGGTGTGTGTTTGCACATAAAAGAAAGAGATAGCAAAGGAAGATTTGGTCACAGCTAGATGATGAGCTCCTTGAGGGCAGGAACCACATCTTGGTCGCTATTGCTTTTCCAAGAGCATAACATTGTACCTGACACATAGTAGGTTCTGTCAAATGAAAAGATGGATAGATAAGGCCTCCATTTGCATTGGGGTTAGGGGTCTATTGGCTCTTCTCTTCCATAGAGGCTCTTCGTTGTATCTCAGCACTTGCTGGAAGGAAATGTCTAGACCAATCCAGAAGAGTTCTCACATAGGCACTTCACCAGCTACAAACGTAGGACTCGAGAGACAGTTGAAAGAGAGCCACCTTGTGGTGTCTGTTGGGAGAGCTCCTGGAGAGACCCCAGCGAAGAAAGTAGGGTCATCCCTCCAGAATGGAGAGGTTACACAGGGCAGCAGCCACTCACCCCTCCACCCCACCTTCCTATATATCTGATGCTGCATTGCCTGGTCAGTGTCCTGTGGCAGTTTTATCATTTGCCTGCATTTGCTGAGGGCCTGCTCCAGGCGGAGCTTGTGGGGGATACAGAGCTAAACCAAAGGCACTACCCTTGAATAGCTTGGTCCAGCAGGGGATTCCACAAGATAAAAGACCAACAAAGATTATAATGAAGCAGCAGGAAGAAATGCTATTGGTGCTGAGGAAGCAACTAGGACTTCACAGCTCAAAAACTCTCTGCCCCTCACCCCTCCCTCAATTCTTCTCACTAAATCTCAAATGTTTTATCCTTGCTTTCCAGAGACACCTCATGATTTGGCTCCTACACATCACTCAGGATCCCCTCCTTCTGCACCTCTGCATTCTCCTCTGTTTCCCATGAAAGCTGTGTGCTTTCCCACCTCTCTACCTTTGCTCACACCCTGGAATGCACCTCTTTCCCATCTCCCTCTGTTGAAACCTGTCTCAATGTCCTTTCCTCCATGAAACCCTTCTAATTCTCCTTGGCAAAGTGGCCTTCCCTCCTGAAGCACCTTCTCAGCAGGGCTTGCATTAGCTGCACATACTGGCTGTTCCATGGATGATTATCTGTGTATATTCCTCATCTTCCTGCTAGGCTTCCAGCTTCCTGATGACATGCGTTCTATGTTTTGTTCATCTTAGCATCCCTCACAGGCACAACATATGCTCCCACTAAGAGGATAAATGGATGGATGGATTGATGAATAGATGAATAGATAGATGGATATATGGGTGGGTGGGGGACAGATGGATTGATGGATGGATGAGTGGGATGTATAACAGATGGATGCATGCATAGATAAATGGAAGGGCAAAGCAACTCTTCTCTAAAGAGTCTTAAAGGACTCATAAAAGACTGTGCTGTGCCAGGGACTTCAAGGGAGGAAGCCCACCCCATGCCAAGATATGCAGAGGAGGGGAAAGTATGCTGTTAGTGAAGGACAGACTGAGACTTCCTTCACTGACAGATGCACCCTCAGCCCCTGTCTCCTAGAAGCCTGGGAATATTCCTACTCCCCAGAGGTCACAGTCTCAGAGCTGCCCCTTCCTTCATACTCCCCTGGACCCTCAGGAATGTCTTCATTAACATGTACTATGTTGAACTGCCTGCACTGTAATGACTGGGTTTCCTCTTCCACATCCCTCCGCTTATCTCATGCACACCTTAGATTGTGAGCTCTCTGAAGACAGGAGCCATGTCTGAGTCTCTTGTGTGTCCCCAGGGCCTGGCATACATGTTTAATGAATAACTGAGTAAATGCTGACTCTTTTCTCCATAGACACATTTTGCACACTCCCTATGTACTCAGGTTCAGCCATCTCTCCTGGTCTTCTCTTCCTCACACCCCACTCCCCAACACTCCTGATCCTGAATTCCCTAAAGTCCTAGAGCTCTGGCCTGGTTCTTTTTTTCTTTTCTTTCTTTTTTTACCCATTTGTGGATTATCTAGGGAAGTCCCAGTGCTCTCCTGAGAGTCTGAAAGGGGAGGGGGCTCTTGGCTCTAAAGCCATTTGACTGGACCCCATTTAGGACAGAAAAGGACTTCGCTGGGAAAACCGGGTTGCTGGGAGGGCAGGAGGGTCCTGCACTAACCTGAGGGCTGATACCGAAGCCTGACCATGCTCGCCTGTGTCTGCTGTCCCTACTCCTGACCTGTGAAGCTGTCCCAAGGTGGCCGGTGGTTGTAGCCCTGACTCAAGGCTGGACAGCTGGCAGACACAGTCAGATTTAGAAGTCATTTTCACAGCAGGGAGCCTCCAGCCTCCCACCCACAGGGCCCTGCAGGGCCAGTCTGAGATATGGCTCACCAGGGGCTGGCCACCAGACCTGTGTTCGCTCCTCCCCTTCTCTCTCCCTTTCTCCTCAGATCTTTAGCAGCTAGTGTTGACTCCACCCTTAGGCAAAGATGGAGGAAGTCCTAGGGGTAGGGATGTGTTGCAGAGACACCCTAACCACCCAAGAGCCCAGTACACTATTTATCCATTCAAAGGGTTGTTTGTCTCCAGCCCAGAGCTCCCCTCTCTTCTCCACCTGGCCTCTGCTGCCTATTCCTTCTCTTCCCCTACCTCTACTTCTCTCTTCCCCATCCTCCTGTCCCCCATACACCCAAAACTAATGAAATAACTCTAGAGAGAAATAATAAACAGAGCTTAACATTTATATGTCACTTACTATGTAGCAGGCATTGTTCTAAGTGCTTTACATATTGAATCATTTAATCCTCCCAACAAACCTATGAAAGAAGCAATATTAATAACTCTGATTCATAACTGAGGATGCCCCCCCCCAGGCACAGAGAGGTTGAGTAACTTGCCCAAGGTCACACAGCTAGTATGAGATAGAGGCAAGATTGAAACCCAGGCGTCACCCCCCAGAGTCCATGTTTTAAACACAGCACAACCCTAGTTCTTGACAACAGTAGCAGTATGGGTGAGCTCTTTGAAACTGGCCTCCTCAGTGTTGGGCCACAAAGAGGTACATGCAGTATGGTGGAGTACATCTCCACAGGGCCAGCCCCTCCAACATCCCATGCAGCTCACCTCTTCTGCCAACCCTAGAGGCCCGCAGCTATAGCAAAATCTAGGCACGTGCCGTCATGGCTGCCCTGGCCTTCCTCAATCTTTCTCCGTGTCTGAAGTCCATCCTCTTCTCAAGACCATAGTTCCAAGGCACACTCCTTAGCTGGACTAGGCTTACCCAACCTGGCCTCAATTTTCACTCCTGCCTTTACCTTCCACAACTCCTTTGAATGTACCCTCAATTCCAGTCAAACCAGACCATTTGGTAATTCCTACACATAACCCTTTTCCTCCACATCCATGCCTCTATTTTTGCTGTTCCCTGTGTTTGAGGCCCTTGCTCCCAGGTTCTATCTCAGATGCCACCTCCTCCATGATCTTTCCTGATCTCATAAAATCTGTACGATCTCCCTTGTTTGACTCCTTATAGTACTTACTGATCAATACTATCGGTAGTTGTGCGTTCCCCTCCACCCCCCATTATCAGGCAGGCCTTGAATATCTCTTTCCTGGAGCCCAGCTCAGTGCCTGGTTCCTCTCAGGTGCTTAGTAAGTACTTACTAGTTAATCTGCAGAAAGAATTGTAGGTGGAAGGGAGACAGACCTCAAGAAGCTTTGATCTCTGCCCAAGGTGACCCCCACTTCTTTTACCTCCCCCAGCAAGAGCTAACTGAAACTTGGCAGTGTGGGTTCCAGGCAAGTTCTGGGATGGATGCTCCCAGGTGACTCTGGCCAGTGCTCTCCCCTCAGGTTCAGAAGCCCAAAGACAATCCCTCCCTCCACAGAACAAAGGCCTGCCTGTGCAATTTAGGGTCCAGTCCCGTGGCCTCCTGCCCCCTGCCCAGTCTCTCTGGGTGCGGGTGGAGAGTGGCGTTGAGATAATTGGAGACCAACATTATAAGTGGTTTTAGAGTAGGGTTAGGGACCTGAACGCTGAGCGGTAGATGGAGTTGGCGGTACTCGGTGGGGGAGGGGGGAGAGGCGGGGCCGAGGGCCGGGCCAAGACTCCGCGACTGAGTCTGGGCGAAGCCCCCGCGCCAGCCGAGTAGGCGGCTAAATTTACCCAGGCTGACTCAGCCCTTACCCGGAATGGGGGGCTGGGGGTTTGTGCTGGGGTAGTGGGAAGAGTCAAAGGGGGTGCAGCGGGGGGCAAGGAAGGGAGAGTTCGGGACTCGGGCAGACAGGGGTGAGCTGGGAGTTTCCATCGAAGAAAGGACGCCCCCCAACCTCCCACCGAAATGGAAGGAGTAGAGAAGTCTTGGGGCGGGACACTGTGGAGAATGGGTAGGTGAAAGGAAGATGCCAAAGTTGGACAAAGGGCAACTTAGCTTTATTGAGCGCCTACTCTGTGCAGGCACTGTGCAAGACGCTTTACATACATTATCGCGTAAAATCCTCACAACAACCCTGAGAGGTAGGTGTTTATAAACCCCCATGTGACAGATGAGGAAACTGAGGCTCAGGGAGGTGAAGTGATTCGGCAAAATTCACATGGCTAGTAAATTGAGACAGAGGAGGTGTCCAAGATCTGCGAGCAAAAAGACTTCAGTGTCTGGGTCCCAAGGGGGTCGGTGTGGATGAGTACAAAGAAGGGCTCGGCGCGCTCCAGAGGTCTAGAAGGCCAGAGTCCTGCTCCCGACCGCACGGCTAGAGGCGGCAAGGCGAGGGACCCGCGCTCAGTAAAGGGATCAATTGATTAACTGGCAATGCCGGAATAGGGGGAACTCGGGCACTAGCTACCGGGGAAATCTGCGACCTGCGCGCGCCCCATAGTGGCTACAGCGAGTATCACACCCCACACCTACAGGCTTTTTGGGACCAGCCTCCTCTTTCCTTCCCTGGCTTGTTTCTGGAAGAGGCAGAAATGCGAGGAATTCTCAGGGTCCTTTCAGATGCGTGATACAACCTGGGTGGGAAACCGTGGTAACGATTCAGAGAGCCATTAAGGAACATTGGGGAGGAGGAAAACGGGAAGGCCTAGAGAGGTCCCAAGCTGATACACTGGCTGCCTTCCCTCCCCAGCTCAGACCACCACAGACCAGGGACAGTGACAAGGACGCCATCCTGCCCTGCCTTTGGGTGCCCTCACCTAAACCTAAGAGATCGGGCTAGGAGCCCTCGGCCACTTACTCAGCTCTTCTGCAAACCCTGAACAGTCTCTTGAATTGAGGATGAAGCCACCCTAGGTACTCAGTTTCTGTTCACTTTCTCCTAACTCTCTTAGCTTCTGGAGGGGAGGATGAAATAGAAGCCTCCTGAAAGGCTCCAAAACGTCAGGAATGGCCCTTAGAATGCCATCATTTTACATGCCAGGAGGGCTGGCAGGGAAAGTGACTTTTCTAAAGTCACCCAGCAAGTCAGTGTCAGAGTTGGGATTGGAACCCAAGACTTGTGACACCAAAGTGAACACTTTTAATGCTTTTTGGTTGTTTCTGAACCTCTTCTGTCAAGGGCCTCTCGGTCACCCGGTCACCTCAGTCCATAGCCTCTCCCTTCTGTCCAGAGGCTCCACCTGCCCTGAAGCTGCCCTCCTATGACTATGCCGTCCCTGCCCTCCTACCTGACCCTGGCTAGGCCTCTTTGCTCAGCTCCACACCAGTCCATTGACCCCTACTGAAGACCTTTGCGGAGTACCCTGAATGGAGCAGCCTATTTAAGTCTATGGCTCACCCTCACCTTTCCTGGAAAAAAATATAATGAACGGACATGTGCTCCCTTCCCTTTTATTTGGGAAGCTTCTATTTCAAGTATGGGAACGGGTGGGAGAAAGGGGTACAAAGAAGTTTTTGAGGAAGAAAGGGGACCATGGCCCTAGGATGGCTGGGTTGGGGAACACAAAAACAAGAAAGGGCCTCTCACTGCAGCTTCCTATTTCCCTGTGGGACCCCCTTAGTGTCCCTCGCCCCGAAGAGGGCCTCCTCGGCTCGGCTGATGACGTCTAGAATCTCTCGGATACTGTCGCTCAGCTCTGCTGTCTTCCCGCCTTCCCGGGGCCTTGTCCGTTCATTCCGCCAGGAGGCGCCAGAGGCTTCTGTGTCGCTTCCATCAGAAGAGCCGCTTTGGACGCTGAGCTCCGCAGCTTCGTCCGAGTCGGAGTCCGGAGCGGTGTGGCGGCGGATGCGGGACACGGCTTCCCTCAGGGCCCCGGCGTAGGGCCCCGGGGTCCGTGCCCAGCCCCGGCCCGCGCGCAGCGGAACGGCCGCCACTTGATCGGAGCCTTCGGCACTGCCTGCGCCTCCCGAAGCCCCTGGGCCTAAGGCTGAGTGCTCTGGGCTACCTAGCTGTGTGTGGGCGTCCTGCAGGTTTACTTCGTCAACCGGGAGCCCCAAGATGCGGGAGGCGCGCTCCTCCAATGAGGAGTCCGCGGGCTTCCCGCCCTCAGCTTCGAACCCTTGCCCCGCACCGGGCTGATGTGAAAGGCGACTGCTCAACAGCAGCTTTTGGCAAGGCGAGGGAAAGACCGCGGCCCCCTCACCCTCCTCCTTGTTGCGCTTCGATTGACTAGGGGCCTCCCCACCAACGCGCGGCACCCCAGTGGGCAGAAGCTGCACATGCTGGGTTCGAGGGGTCGGAACATACTGGGACCGAATTACCACGCACGTGGCGTCAATAACAAAGACGCCTTCTCCCGGAGCCAGGCCGCGGGAACTGCGCGGCAGGGTGTGTGCGTGGCGGGTGGCCTTCCAACCCTCCAAGGTCTCGAGTCCCGCTTCCTCTCTATGACCCAGGGACTCTCTCCATCCCGTGCCTCCTGGAGCCCAAGGTCTGGGGAGGGTCTGGCTCTGTCGGGGCGGCGGTTGCTTTCTAAGGGGGGGAATCCAACATTTAGGGAGCCAGGTCTGTTCTCTACTTTCTTTCCCTTCCTCGGAGCCCTTGACATGGGGCCTGGACCTGGGAGCCGGACGCGGGGCTCTGGGGGTCGCAGTTGCAGACCCAGCAGAAGCTGTCTCCGTGCCTGGGCTCCCAGCAGCTTTGGTTTGGGGGTGGCCGTCGCTGCCACTGTTCACGCCAGCAGCAGCCAGCCCCAGGCTTTTCTCTGCAGCCCCCTTGCCAGACTCCAGCTTTGGCCTGGCTATTCCACAGCCTGGGGATCCTCCCAAGAGACCCCGACCCTGTCGGAGACCCCAAGCCCCGAGGACGTCTCGGTAGATTCGAGGATCCAGCCTCTTCTTTGGGCACCCTCCCTCTGTCCTGGCTAGAGTCGGAGCAGGAGCTGACGTGGCGGGCGCCTGGGAGGGCTCGGGGCCTCGCTTAGTGCCCAAGGTCCTGTGGGGGCCTTCGTAAGAAGGTGGAGCCACATAGGGTGGCGGCCGGTCCCAGCGGCGTCGCGGGGCTGTCCCAGCAGCACCTCTCAGCAGCAGGTGAGCCTCATAGCTTGGGGGCCCTGGCCGCCGACCTCCCCAGGGCCCCACCCACACCGCCCTTAGGTCGCCCTGCAGCTGCGCCAACGGACGGGGCGGTCGCCCCACCTGCCCCACGCGCTCTGGTCGTGAGGGAGCTGGGAGCCCGGCAGGCTGGGCCACCCGAGGGGCGTTCCGAGGCTCTGCACGGGGCCGACCGAGGGGGCTCCTTCGGGCCCCACCAGCCTTGCGCCTTTTTCTCTCGGTCTCCTTGGCCTCCCGCTCCTGCGATGCCGCTTTCCTTTTCTCCTGCTCCCGAGCTCGGGCCTCGGCCGGGGGCCCCGTCCGCCAGTTGGTCGCCTCCTGCAGCACCCTGGAGGCCCAGGGTCGGCGGGGCGGCGGCTCAGGGGATCCCAGGCGCGGCCCACACCTGGGACAATGAGCAGGAACCCAGGTGAGCAGTTTGTGGGGGAAGGGAGCAGAGGTCCGGGGAGCTGGGAGCATTGGAGACCACTCAGGGCTGCCTTGGGGTGTGTGTGTGAGTGTGTGCGCGTGTGCACGTGCGTATATGTTAGGGCTGAAGTCGAAGCGGGACTCCTCTATCTCTCCATGCACACTTTAACAGAGTCTGCCCCATCTCACCTCCTGTCCTTTCTCACACTCACTCTTGTACCCCCAAGACAACGCGGGTTGCTTCAGCCCTCGGGATGGGAAAGAGAAGGGGACCACCACAGCTGGCTGGTGCCTGCAAGGATGTCCGGAACCCACTCCCCGCCCCACCACTTTCTTCCCCTCACCCCTCCTTCACTCACGTGCGGCTCTGGGGCCCGCGGGCCCAGTGGCTGGCCTGGAAGTCCATGGGCTGTCGAGGAGGTGCACAGCGACTATAATGGCAGGAAATAGTCTTCACTTCGATCACCAGCAGCTTGGATTTCTGCACCCAGAGGCAGCTGCCTGACTCCTCATCCTGGGGCTCACGGGGGCTGTCGGGCCCCTCGGAGAAAAGCTGGCCATCCAGCATTCTGCCCCACCCCACCCCGGCCCCCCACCCTCCCACCCGCCCCGAGAGCCCCCTCCCAGCCCAGGGAGCCGGCGCCCACTGCAGAGCAGCGGGCCCAGCGACTGAGGACTATATATACCCGGGCACACGTGTGTGCCTGTCTGTGTGTGTGCGCGCGCATGTGACATAGCGAAGACGGCTCCGCGCTGCTACCTCCCCCATGTGCACGGCCGCCCCCTGGGGCCCGGGAATGGGCGCCCCTTCCCACTGCCCTTGTCCCCCAAGCTTGATGGGACCTGCAGGAGTGGGCAGGGGATTTCTTATTCTTGCCAAGCTGACACTGCCCCCTCCCCCGCCCCCATTTCTTCAACCTTCCTGCCGTTTTAACCCTTCATTCTCCTGCTTCTCAAGGTTCCAGATCACCAAGGTTCTGCCCCTGACTTTTTGCCTCAGACTTCAGTTTCCGCTACAGGGAGGTTATGGGCATTGAACTCAAGGTCTCTGCCTGCCACTCTCGCTGGTTTCCATGGGGTTGGGGTGCAGAAGGGGCTGGCCTACGGCTGGGGGGCTATTTTTAGCGGCAGTGGCTGTTCGGGTGCAGAGAGATGAGTAACCGGCTTTCATGTGGTGGAGGGAGGAGGTGGCGACTTTCAGGCGATTCTGGGGGAGAGCTGCCGCCCCCAGGCTCAAAAAAGGTGACTCCCAGACCCTTAACTCCTAACCCTCTCAGTGTTGCAGCCCAGGGCTGCTGGTTCAGCAGGGCACAGGAGTCTGCCTTGGCCATCCAAGCTGCACTCCCATTCTAGATGTTTGTCTTTGGGCACCCAGCAGCAGGCTCTCTCCCCCAATCCAGAATCCAGGACTTAGGGGTCATACTGTGCTGTGCCCACACAGCTCTCTGCTCAGCCTTGTGGAGGGCAGGCTAGGGTGCTTATTATGCACCTGTACCCTTTCAGAGGGGATGGCAGAGGAATGGTGTGCTCCTTAGCAAAATCAGCCTTCTAGCAACTGAAATGATAAAAGCAGCCCCTATTTCCCAGTGTAGAGCTCCCCACCACCACTCCCACAACACCTAGCCACTCAGCCTCCTGAAGTGGTGCACCTTTGAGGCTCATTCTGTCCGGGGTGGGGGGTTTACTTACATCCACATGATCCCTCCCCGCAAGCCTATACCAGGTGTCCCCTGATTCACCATGGTAATGTTAGTGGCAGCACAGCCCACGCCAGCCCTTCCATGCAGAGACTTAGCAACCATGCCTGGCAACCGTGGCAGCAGCTCCAATGGAGGGGAGGAGTGCAGAGAGGTGGGGAAAGAGACTGTATGGCAATGGTTCCTGAGCAAGAAGGGATGATCTGCCTTTCCTGAGGGGAATAGGTAAGAATAGGCTATGAAGCTCCCAAATTTTGTTCATTGTCTTTCCTTCTACTTCATCTTCACACTCAGACTGATTGGTTAGGTTTTGAGGGGGATAGAAACAGGAGAGAGATCCCAATTTGTTTTCCACTAAAGTGCACGCAGTTCTTCGGGTACAGACCCTTCCTTTTAAGAAGATGGAGCCAAGAAGCTTGTTGTGGGGGCAGAAACAGACTTACTGAGAATCAGAGCAACAAAACCTAGTCTTCCTTCATCCTAATATAGACCTTTAGAGAGAATTCAAATACCCCCTATCCTATGCACTTGACCGCCCCCCACCCCTCACACCTACCAGCTGCACGGATGGCTCTTTGCTTGAAGGTCCTTCCTTCTTCCCAAGTCCCATCAAACTCCTAAGGCTTTTTAAAGCCCTTGCCTCCTTAGACAAACTCCCCTTCGTGATGGAATGTGACATAAGGAGACATCTGTCTTTTCCACCAGGCACCCACCCCCACATACATAAACATACCCTAATTCTAATAACTTGGAAGCCTTCCTCCTCTAAGTCTGGGAATGTGCTGTGAGAGCCGTGAAGAGAAGAATGCAGGAGCAGGGACCTCTGAAAAACCAACGTGCAGCACAAAAAGCTGCCTTGGTGCTTTCCCCATGTTCCATTATGAAGCCTGGTTTGGGGAACCAGCATGGTATGGCCAGGTTCTTGAAAGTTCTTAGGCACAGTGTAGACAGGGGCAAGGAGTTACTCTGAAATTGCTTCTGGTCTCAGATAGGAAATGGTATCATACCTGCAAGGCAAGTGAGATGGTACCCAGAATTTGGCTCACAAACCAGCGGTCTAGCAGTCCCTGGAGTGTTTGGTGCTGACTACTGCTTTGGCCCACAGCGTTTCACCACAGGGAAAGGTCTGATGGGGTGACCATAGTCCTGCTGCTCCTCCACCCAACCCCAGCGCATTCTAACCTGGGAAGGATGGCAAGGGATCTGTAGATTCAAAGACAGTGCTGGTTCAGCAAAAGCCAGAGTCCAACCTTCCCTAAGAAAAGTTGATGATGGTACCACATCTCTGCCTAAAGGAGACCTTCAGTGCGTCTACCCTCTGGAGACCTCATACTGTTACAGAATTTTCCCGCGGTCCCAGCTATGATCCAAGCAGGGGGGAAGTGAGTAATAAGGAGGCCTGCAGGGAACGGGGTAGAGAATTGTAATGAACAGATAATTAGAAAGGCAGTAAGTCTGGTATAGTAGAGTATGATCTCCTGAGCTGGCCTGTTTGAGTAGAAATCCTAGCTCTACTTTTTACTAGATGTGTGGCCTTGGGCTGGTTATTCAGCCTCTCTGTGCCTCAGGTTTTCTTTAATCTGTAAGACTAGAATAGCTACTATTGTTCTGAGGATTAAAAGGATTAATATATGTAAAGCATGGAGAATAGTGCCTGCCACAGTTTTATATGCATGTGTCTGTACATGTGTGCTGCTCTTGTTAGAAATGAGTTGAAGAGCCATATGAAGTAGGAAGGCTGGAGCCATAGTAGTGTCTGTCAACTGCAGAAATCAAACACTGCAATACCATGAAGAGGTTCCTGTCATTTTAATTAGGTTTGCCATGAAAAGCAATGACCTCAGCTAAGCATTCTGCCCTCCTCCCCCAGCTAACCCCCATCTTGGAACCCAAAGGCCCTCCTCCCCACAATCCTCCCACTCCCATTAGGGGAAGAAATGTCACTAAATAGACTCAGCCTCCTCCATACAGCATGAAACAGGATGAATAAAAATATCTTTATGAAGAGTTTTGTTGTGCTATTATCTTAGGGTGGAGTCAGGCAGACATAGAAACAAAGGCTGGGTGAGGTCTGGGGATCTCTTAGAGATCAGAATTTGCCTGAGGGTTACCCAGAAAGGGGGCTATGTCAAAGAGGGCAGGGGCTGGGGTGGGCTAGGCTACATGTTTTCCTCAAGTGTATGTGTGAGGATGAAGACAGCTAAAAATACATTCTCCTTCCTGTCCCCATACTTTCCCAGCTTGCAGGGAGCAGGGTAGAGGGCTCCAAAGCAGGACACAGAGTCACAATTCTTTCAAGGTTTCATCTGTGGTTCCCAGAGCTTTGGGCAGGCAGTCATCAGGGCATATCCCCTGATACTGTCTGACCCCTTCCCCAGGCTCAGGGCTTTTCTCCACCTGTGAGCACCAGGGCCTGCAGGATATCAGACAGAGATACAATTCCCTTGACCACATCATTCTCATCCACCACTACAAGCCGGTGAACCTGAGGACAGCAACAAGGGAGAAAGGGATGTTTAGTACTAGCCTCAGGGTGGGCCCTTCAGCCCCTACCCTTCTTACCAAACCCCAATATCAAAGCTGCTCCCCACAGCTCATTTGAGTCACTGGCCCCCTACCTCTGCTTCCACCAGCCTGTTGATGATGGTCTCCAGAGTCTCATGCAGGTAGCACTTAAGGACACCCTCAAAGTAATGTGACCGATGTTGCAGGGCTTTGGTCACAGACACATCTAAGTTGTTGTAGGTTTTTTCTGCTGCCAGATTCTGCAGAGAGAGAGGAAGGTGCTTGCAGTGAAGCAAAGGAGTCAGCTCCCAAACCCTGAGCTTACCCAACCTCACCAGAGGGATTTAGAGCAGTTGTTAGCCATGCCCACAAGCCATACCCAGCTCATTGAATTCCTTTTCAAGTAAGATTTGCAAGTTTAGAAGCTTCTAAAACCCTCAGGTCCCAGAAGAGACCCTTCTCCCTCTCCATATTCAATACCCCACCCCCTTCCCTACCTCCCAGCCCATCCACAATCACTCACGATAACATCAAACTTGGAGTAGATGTCCACCACACGCCCTAGGGGGACAGAGGTAGCTCAGCAAGGAGGATCTGGCATCCAAGGCTCCCCCTGTGCACAGACTCACCCTCCGGGCTGAGCTGAGAGGGCAGCAGATTTTCCCAGAGCCATCCTGGCTTCCCTGGAGCTCTCCCTCTTCTGCCCAATCTCTCACCTTTCTCATCCACCACTGGCAGGGCAGACACTCGGTGTTGTACAAAGATGCCTAGAGCCACATAGACAGGGGTGGTAGTGCGGACCATAGCGATATTGGCATATGTGCCGATCTGTAGCTCTTCCAGAGACTTAGACATGAATTCTGGCTTGGGGAACTCAGTGATCTGAGGAAAGAACCATTAGCTTCATTTTCAAAGCCCCCTAAATCCAGTATTGGATATTTGGATACCCCTCCAATCCAGCATAGAGGAAAAAACTGGGCTGAGGAGCACTTACAAACAATTTGAGGAACTTGAGGATGCGCTTATGGGTGAGGATGTACAACGTGTTGCCTGATTCTGGGTCAATAACTGGCAGCCTATGGATCTTGTTTCGAATTAATGAAGAGACAGCATCAAACAAGCTGTGGGAAGGTGGGAAATAATGGTAAGTTCCACAGTGCTGGGCTCGAGGGCGGTTAAATAGCTCCTTAGAGTGTGTTTATAAACAGGGAGAGCTGGTAGTTGGGGGAGAGGAACAGTGTTCAGACCAGACCTAGAGTATGTGTGTGTATGTTGGGAGGGGGGGCAGGCTGGGAAAAGTGTCTTTTCTCTATTCTGCCCCAGAATCTTTGGGTGTCTAGGGAGTTAGCTGTGCTGATGGCAAGGCTCTTCCCCTTCTGGACAAATGGGGAGCTGGAACTCACCTGGCATTAGGAGAAATGCAGACAAGTGGTTTAAAGGAGTCCTGTAGGTACACCTCTGGAGGGAAAAGGGAAGTTCACAAAATACCATCGTGGAAAACTCTTCCCAGGAAACTCTCCATCCCTTTGTCCTTTTAGAACCCCCAATTCTCTACATACCTCTCCAAGTCTCTATCTTGTGTTCTTCCAGCTCATATATCTGTACCTGGAAGCAGAAGCAATAGAGTTTCAGACCTGATCTCTGTTTCATTAATCCCTTGCTATTTGTTTGGAAGAAAGGGAATGAGAATGAGGGACTCTCGGCAGGCAAAGTGGTTTTGGGTCATTGGGCCCAGGTTCCTTACCAAGGCTGACTTATAGTAGCGGTGAAGGATATTGATGAAATCGGTAATGGTCAGCATGCCTAGAGACCAAGAGAAGAGCCCTCAGTACTGCTCAAAGCTTTTCCCCTGCCCAGCACAGGGTGTTGCACAAACTTTTGCTTACCCACAAAACTTTGCTTCTTACTGTCCCACAAAGGGGCAGCTCGTACACCATTAGTCACTAAAGCAAAGAAAGCTTTCTTCACCTGTAGGCAAAGAGTAATAATCATGAAGGGAAAATTCACAGGGGGTAGGACTTTAAAAGAACAGGGGTTGGGTATGCTGGGGAAAACATGAGACTAAACACCATAGAAGAATGAGGATATTACCACTGGGATGAGACAGGATGAGAGGTATTGAACAAGAGGCTCCAAGGAAGGGGAAGGCAGGGAAAAGAGGATTTCACTCACCTGAAGGGAAGTATCAAATACGACCAATTTGGAGCTTGTGGGAATCAGGTCATAGCAGCGATGAGACTTCATGAAGGAAGTATACACACTCTTGTTGGATTCTGGGGTCTCTGCATAGGGTGGGAGAATTAGTAGCTTCCTTCCATGCCCAATCAAAAGACGCAAAGAATAAAACAATGTTGAAGGTGCTCGAATATTTACAGCACGATTTTTTTATAAGGCCCCCTATTCTATCTATTCCCGTTGTTCTACAAAACTTGGATAAACCCTTAGGAAATCATTTTATCCACCACCCCCATCTCCAGGTAGGACCACATATATCTATTGGCTCCATATGCAAAAGATGGCTGACTGAAAAAGAAAGTCTTATAATATCTTTCATTAACTTATTCTAGTCTAAAAGTTTTTTTCTCATCTTTAATTCAGGTTTTCTCTTTCATACATCAGCACATTTTCATTTGTTCTCTTCACTCAATTAAAATATAATTAAGCTTTTTAAAATTCTTCTAAGACCCGAAAATGAGAAGGTCATAGTCAAAGCTGGGCCATTTCAGATCAACACTAAGTTGGAGCCCAGTGTTCAATCAGCCTGGCCCAAAACACCCTGAGCGTCCACCTCAGGACAACACTGAATCAGAAATCATCCCACCTACTCTAGACAAATGGGACACCCTGCTGTGTTTACCTTTCCATTCCTCTGATTTTAATTGCTTGTTCTACATTGGAGAAGCAACCCCCAAAATAAGAGCCCAAAGGTGCTACATACTACTCTATGTGTGCTTAAAAATATTACATCACTTAATCCATACAAGATATCTGTACAGCAAATACTGTCCTCACTTTTCAGATGAGAAAATAGGTGAAAAGCAGTTAAATAAACTGAAGGTCATACCATCAGTGTCAACAAAGACTCAAACACAGATCTGCCTGATCCAAAGTTCATGCTCTTGAATCCTATGCCAGTTGTTTTTAATTTTTCATTTTCTAGCAGAGCTAAACAGATACACAGTTTAAAAAGACAAACAGTTCTAAAAATTTTGTGGAGAAAAACTGCAGTTCCTGGCATCCACCACCCTGTACTACCCCTCCCCAGAGATGAGACTTCTTAGCTGATTATTTTGGTATTTACTTCTATGTCTATAAATAACAAGCTTACATTGTTCCTTTTTGATATTTTCACTCTTGGGCATTATTTATTAGCATCCAAGGAAGATGGAACTTTTTAGTTCTCTTTCTTACAAGACATATATGCACATAACAAATATGCACCTCCCATCCCCCCATTCTTCCAGAAGCTAAACTATAATGTTGGTTACATCAATATTTAAATAATTTTGACTGAATAGTCATTATTCAGAACTAGGACAAATGGCAAACTCTTGTTTTTTTTATTTCTTTCACAATTTTGTTACCCCTGGAGTTAATAATTGTCTTGTCTTTTTGTTTGCCTAATTTTCTATATACAGTATTTATAACTAATTTAACCCCCAACTCTTCACCAATTGTTTAAATCTCCTTCCAAAGTTCAGAAACATCAGATAGTCTGTCAACTTAAACTACCCAAAGAAGTCTCTCCAGAGCCTTCTGACCTGCTCAAATCTGGGCTGCTTTGCCTGGTGTGCGCTGTTGAGGTCTTCCTTCATCACCATCCAGGGGCCCCCTTTCACGTCTCTCCTGTATTGGCACTCCTGTATCCTGTATCCCATGTTTTCATCTTTTTTATTACTCCCTTGTTCTGGTGGAGCACATCTTCCAGTAGCTTCCTGAGAAAGGGTGCATGGAAGGTACATTTTTTGAGACCTTGCAGCCTGCAGATATCTTTATTTTACTCTCATCTTTGATTTATAATTTGGCTGGATATAGAATTCTAGTTGGAATTTATTTTCCTGCAGAATGTTGAAGGCATTGCTCCACTGCCTTCTAGCTTCTGATGTGCTTAGTCCGAGGCAACTGATTCTTTGTTATGTGACTTGTTTTTTTCTCTCTGAAAACTCAGGATCTTCTGTTGTTTCCAGTGCTTTGAAATTTCATGGTGATTGTGCTTTGGGGGGTCAATTTCATCCACTGTGAGTCCTTTTCAGTGAGTCTTTTCATTATGAAAACTAATGTCCTTCAGTTCCAGGAAATTTTCTTCAATTATTTCCTTGACAGCTTCCTTCCCTCTGTGCTGTCATTTTTCTTTTTCTGTAAGTCCTGTTATTGAGATACTAGGCTTCCTAGACTGAGCCTTTAAATGTTTTTTTGGTCAGTTTTTGTTGTTTTTAAAATATCTTTTCTCCTCTATTTTCCACTTTGATTTTTTCCACTTCTCTGATTTTTAATTCTACTTTGTGGGAGATTTTCTCAATTTGATTTTCCCAACCCCCTATTTAGTTTAAAATTTTTGCTATTATATTTTTAATGTCTAAGAGCTCCTTTTTGTTTTCTGAAAATTCCTTTTTAAAAAAACTCATATCCTGTACTTGTTTCATGGTGGAAATATGTTCTTTATCTGAGTATAAATTAATATTAATTTTTAAAGTTTTCTTCTCTATGCACTGACTTTTCCCCTTTATTGCTTTTTTTATCCTGTGGGTTTTTTTTTTTTCATGAGGGGCACCAGTTTGGGTCACTTTTTTTTTTTTATGTCAGAAGCTTTCTTTAAATGTCTGGTAATCCTTGGTTTAAAGGAGTCTAACCATTTTTTTTATTATTAAAATTTTTTTTTATTAAGGTATCATTGATATACACTCTTATGAAGGTTTCACAAGAAAAACAGTTTGGTTACTACATTCACCCTTATTATCAAGTCCCCCCTCATATCCCATTGCAGTCACTGTCCATCAGTGTAGTAAGATGCCAGAGAGTCCCTACTTGTCTTCTCTGTGCTACACTGTCTTCCCCATGACCGACACACACCTTGTGCACTAACCATGATACCTCACAATCCCCTTCTCCCTCCCTCCCCACCCACCCTCCCCTTCAGTAACCGCTAGTCCCTTCTTGGAGTTTGTGAGTCTGCTGCTATTTTGTTCCTTCAGTTATGTTTCGTTGTTACACTCCACAAATGAGGGAAATCATTTGGTACTTGTCTTTCTCTGCCTGACTTATTTCACTGAGCGTAGTATCCTCTAGCTCCATCCATGTTGTTGCAAATAGTAGGATTTGTTTCTCTTTTATCCAACTATATTTTAAGAGTGGAATCTTTAAAGCTGTTTGGATGCTTTACTTCTAAGTGTATAAGTTGGATGCTTCTAAGTGTGTAAGTAAGCCTTGTTGACTGTGAGCCATTCAGATGGGGAACACTCAATACTTAAATTTTTAGGGCTTTCCCCTCAAGGGGATTCTGGAGAGAATGATTATTCAGTTACTTTCATGATGGAGGGTGAAGTTTTTTCCATCAGCATTCTGGAAATTGGATGCAGGAAAAGGACTCATATCTCAGCATCCAGTACAGTTCACTTCATGCTCCTGTGTTTAGTACACCACTGCACTTCTCAACTGGGCCACAGTCCATCTCCAGACCTCCAGTATCTTCCAAAGTTGGGACAGGGAGTTGCCCAGCTGCACTCAGTGGGGTAGGAAGTCTTGGGATCTGACTGCTTTTTAGATGTTCAATGCTTCTCAGTTTTCCCCACTATTAATTTATAGTCCAGTTTTCTCAGGTCTGCTAAGTCATTTACCTGTCTTCTGTCTGCTTTGCAGCTTTCAAAAATGTATTGCTATTGCCTCCTCTCTTGTTTGGCCTATTTTGTTGGGCTTGCACTTTTTTAAAAAACTCCATTATGGTGGTTTTAGTGGCTTCTTGTGAAGGAAGAAATTAGATGCATGTATTCAATCCACCATCTTTAACTGGAAGCCCATCATTGTTTTTCAAATTTGAAAACTCACAGACTCCAAGAACATATCTTTTGATACCAATTTAAGAGATGTTACATTGCTAGTTAAATTTTATCACTTTAGGCTACAGGCCTACATTTGATTTGGCCTTCACAGTATTTTTTTTTTTGGTATCATTAATCTACAATTACATGAAGAACATTATGTTTACTAGGCTCCCCCCTTCACCAAGTACCCCCCACATACCCCTTCACAGTCACTGTTCATCAGCATAGTAAGATGCTGTAAAATCACTACTTGTCTTCTCTGTGTTGCACAGCCCTCCCTGTGCCCCCACACACACTATACATGCTAATCGTAATGTCCCCTTTCTTTTTCCCCACCCTTGTCCCTCCCTTCCCACCCATCCTCCCCAGTCCCTTTCCATTTGGTAACTATTAGTCCATTCTTGGGTTCTGTGCTTCTGCTGTTTTGTTCCTTCAGTTTTCCTTTGTTCTTATACTCCACATATTAGTGAAATCATTTGGTAATTGTCTTTCTCCGCCTGGCTTATTTCACTGAGCATAATACCCTCTAGCTCCATCCATGTTGTTGCAGATGGAAGGATCTGTTTTTTCTTATGGCTGAGTAATATTCCATTGTGTATATGTACCACATCTTCTTTATCCATTCATCTACTGATGGACATTTAGGTTGCTTCCATATCTTGGCTATTGTAAATAGCGCAGCGATAAACATAGGGGTGCATCTGTCTTTTTTAAACTGGAGTGCTGCATTCTTAGGGTAAATTCCAAACAGTATTTTTTTTTTAATGGAAGTATTGTTGATATACAATCTTATATTGGTTTCAAATGTACAATACAGTGGTTCAACAGTTAACCCATATTATTAAATCCTCACCCCCTCTAGTGTGGTTACTATTTATCAACATAAAAAGATGTTACAGAATCGACTATATTATCCATGCTGTACTACTGTCCCCATGACCAACTTATATTGTGATCACAAATTATTGTGCTCCTTTATCCCCCTTGGCCTTCCCAGTATTTTAAAAATAATTTAAATCAGTTCCCTAATTAGAAATCTGGAGATTTACATAAAAATCCAGATTCTCAGTTTCTTTTCAAAATCAGAGGCTCTGACAAAACTAAGTTTTGAATTCCTGAACAGTAACAATTGACCAAACCCAGATACTTGCTGCTTCCTTTTAGGTGCAAAAAGATCTATAGATTGTTGTGGTCCTAGGCAGCCTACATCACTGCTTGGTTCACATAGACCATTTGAGTTTTTGAACCCTGCCTTGGTGCTGATGCACATGTACTCAGAAACATAAAACAGGCACTGATATCATATGACAGTACTCAATTATGTAAAGTCATCCATATAATTCAAAATATGACTATAGTAACTTTTTTGGATACCAACAGAATAAAAACAGAACTTTTAAAAAACCTTCTAAATCACAAATCCTTAGTAATATGTCCTAAGGTCTGAAGCCATATTTCAATCCTCTGAGAAACTGTATACTCCTAATGCCATAAACATGTCCTAGGAAGACCTAGGAGTGCTCCTGGGCAAAATTCTTCATTGGAGATGCCTGTAAGTTCTGCTTCCTTCTAGATGGTCTCGTGTTGGACCATTCCATTCTAACCAGGCGTTTGGGCAGCTGCTGGAATTGCCTTCTCCTGTGTCCTGGATTTTAGGGTTTAGTGTCTCTATTTCTAGATTAGTTCTAAGGGTTTTGAAAGACTTTCTATCATTTCTTGTTTACACTCAGTAGTTTTAGTGATCTCACTGATGGTAAAATCCTAGTAGCATTGTTTCTGGACTAGTTAGAAAATACCAGACACTTTTAGAACATGGTTAGCCAATCCAGAGTTTATATAGAAGTTTCCCCTACCTCAAAAGTTTCTCTCAAGTGGTTTGATAATTGAAGATATTAATCATTTACATACTGCCCAAGATTTATTCCTGGATGATCTTGCCAAATTACTGTTCCTGATTTGTGTGGTTGGGCACATTATCTTGGCCAGCTTTGATTTTCCCAGGATGTGCGCTGGGAGAGATTCAAAAGTAATGCTAAAGACAAGTTAGGGTCAGGCTGTGACCTTCATACCCAGTTTCCTTTCTTCAACAAACTTACCTTGAGGATGCTCATTTTCCAGAGCTGGGGAGCTATCTGAATAAGTGACCTGGAGAAACAAGAGAAACAAAGATTCAGCCTACCTAGGGTCCATCCATTTCAGCCTCGCAACAGGAGATGGGCTAGTGAACTAATGACTTCATTTAAAGCACTGTAATTCCCTTTTGAAATATTAAGTCGTCCAATCTTCATAGTAACTCTTAGGTAAGTACTATTATTAGCCTTATTTTCACAGATAGGTTCAAGAAATAGTAAGCAAATTGTCCAAAGCCACATAGCTGGTAAGGGGTAGAACAGGGCTTTGAACACAAATCTGTGTGGTTTCAAAACTCATGTCCTTATAAACCAGATTGCCTAATGAAACATTAGGTCTTAAAAGCTGAGAGTAGAAAATCTGAGTGTACATGTGAAACCTTCGTAAGATTGTATATCAATGATACTTTAAGAAATTAAAAGGAAAAAGAAAATCTGAACATAGGATTGGCCCCACAAGGTTCTCACAGATCTACTTTATAAAAACATAGAAGCCAGAGAGACAACAGTGCTTTCCCCCTTCACTCCCTAAGCATAGCTGTGGGCACCAGAATCATAGACATATTCCCTAGCCACTGAGAGAGGGTCACATCTGGAGAGGATCCCTGCAGCTGAATGTAAGAGAGACAGTCAAAGCTTGATTGAATGAAGGGTGGAAGAGGAGCACAAATGTTCTGAATCTGGGGACCATTGTGAGTCAAAGGGCCAGAGGATGATGGTTTTCGAAGTTTCCTTGCCCATGACAGTTTGAGATTAGAGAGGGCTTTGAATACAGAGAAACCTTGGGAACCATTTCTGTGCTCCCCCAAGTGGGAACATTCAGAAATTTCATTTCATCCTGGGTTATCCAGAAACCCAGGAGGGATCATGATAATTTTCATCTACTGGAATCAACAGTTTTGGCTCCGTTTTCTCTGGATAACTCCCAAAGCTAACTTAATGTTACAGTTCACCTCCATAGTTGCTGTAGTAACATGAAGTTAAATGCCTTGGCTTGAACCAGGGAAGCTGGCTGGTCAACAGGGTCAAATCGGCAGGACAGCCCTAAACTTCCCTCCCATGATGGGCCAGAGTGGGAGCAGTGGGCGAGGAAAATAATCTCCCTCTCTTCTCTCTGGGCTGCATAAGACTATTAGCTTGGCCTGGCATTTTGGCAGGGCTATCGGAATAACAGCCTCATCACTTATAAGTGGGAGAGAGGGCTGTTCAGCAGTAAAGATACAGACATGGTATAACACAGTCTCACAGAGATCTATCCAAAGACACAGAAACAACTACTCCTGTAGAAATTATCATCCCCATCACATAATACTACACATACATACTGCACTGTGCTACAGTTACTTTGTTCATTATTTATTCAAACAGATGATAAGTTCCAGGAACTATCTTACAGTTTATATCTTACAGTTATCTTACAGTTCATAACCCTATACAATCTAGCATGGGCTTTGCATATAATTCTCAATTGTTTTGTTTTTCAGTCTCAAATTAATCATGATAATGATTCACACTGATATTAACAGCAAGACCAAAGACTATGCTACAGAGACAGAAAAGAGATGTACAGCTAAATAGAGATAGATGCCTACATAAGAGTTGGACACCATTGAATATGACTTTATGTTTTTGCCTATTTCTCCATACAGGAGTGGGGTAATTATGTCCACTCCTCTCTACTTCTAGTGACTTAGGGGACCAAAGGAAGTACCAATGTACTACATAAGCACAAAATATCATTACAGAGACACAGGCTAGATCCAACACACAGACTCAAAATTTCTTTCAAACTCCTGATCCACATTTCCAGTTGTTTGCTGGACAACCACAGATGTCACAGAGACTCCTCCAATGCTTCCATACAAAACAGAACAGCATCTGCCCCTCCAATTCTATTATTCTTACAGTGATTGCCATCTTCATTTCTTACATTGCTCTCCTTTCAGGTACCTAAAACTATATAGCCTTGATCCCTCCAAGAATGAGCTGTGCCAACATGTCTGCTTAAAATCGCAGAGTAGGACGTGACCTAAATGTGTCCCCAACATTTATCACCTAAGCTGATATGTCATAGCTCAACTCCATCTCTTTCCTTTCCACTTTCACAGCTTTAACTTAGGTTTTTACCCCTTCTTCTGCAATATTATCTAACCTGGTCTCCTGGCCCTAAATCTCTCTCTTTAATTTGACTTTCATGCTGTCACCAAGTTCTCTCACCAAGCATCCCAGATTTGGAAGGGACTGTCATCTCCAGCAACCAGGAACTCACCACTTCCTGAAGTAGTTCCGTCCATTTACTGAAAGCTATTAAGAACGTTCCTAAAGCACACTCACTGCCTTGCTCATAAATCTCCCATGGGTCCCCTTATTGCAAAACAATGTTCAAACTTAGCATGGAATGCAATACCTTCAACCTGACCTCAGCCTATTTTTCCAGTCTTTTCTTTCACTATAACCAAAATCCAAAGCTCCAGCAACATCAAACCACTGGTTCACCCTCAGGTAATCTCTACATACTCGGACTTCTATGCCCTGGCTCACACTGTTCTCTCAACCTGCAATGCCTCTCCCAGGTTCACAGTAATTTCTCTATCCCTGTGCTTCCACAGTCCTTTGCACCTTAATGATAGCATTTATGAGTCTACCTTTGGCTTCACAGGCTTGCCCTCACCCAACTCCAGTTAGGCTGAGCATTTTCAAAACAGGGATTTTCTCTTCTTTTTTCTATTTCTAAAAATTTCTACCCCAAGAACCTAATACAGTACATAAAGTGTGAGGGCTAAGTTAGAAAATCTATGTAAAAATGTTTGTAAACCATAGTACTTTTACAAGTAAGTAAAAACTGGCAAGTTATTTTGAACTTAGTGGAATCAGATCTTTAATTCTTGTTCAAAATTCTCTTTGTCTGTACAAACTGACTCCCTTGACTGAGTGATCAGTTGTAAATCACTTTTTCACTTTGTCTGTTTTCTTTTTTATAACCGAGAGAGGGACATGACCTCTCTGCAGGTAAAGAAATGTGCAGTAAAGGAATTACTCCAGGCGTGTAAACCACCCAAAGGTGAACCTGCAGTCCTTATACAACAGACAGTAGCGGAGGATAAAATCAAGATAGAGTTACTCTGCCTCACAGAGGATATGCATGATTAAAAACTGTTGGTGAGGAAAGTGAATGGGAAGGGTTCCAGAGTGCTAGAAAAATGTCCCTGAGAGTGCTACGTCCAAACATGTAGCAAGCAACCCACAGCATCTCTGGATGGCAGGGACCTGCTACAATTGGTTATTGCCTGCTCGCCACGATCACAGGCCTGCTTAGGATCAAGAGTTGAGCATGACCTAAATAAACTGGACCAGGGACACAGGGGCCTCTAACATTTGACAGTCTCTCCTTCAAGAAACCCCACTTTTCAGCCTTATTTAGGTAATGTGACCTCGCTGGAAACCTCGAAGCATTATAAAGATCTTTCAGATGTCGCTCCTGCCAGGGATTGCACGGATCACATCAGACAACCAAGGGCCAGGTGCTATCTGCAAGCGAGGATCCCTTGGCAACCCCCTGCTTCACCCAATAAGGCCGGTTCACAACCCAGTTCTCTCAGGCAAACCTCTGAAGCGCTTTGAGGTGTTAACAGGAAAGGAGGCCCGAGATCGCCCGGGTGTGCGTGGGCTCCACGGAGGGAGCTAGAAGTCACTGCAGACCGCTCGGGCTGGTGGTACCGCGGGCGGAAGGCTGGCACCGGCGCGGCCCAGTGCTAGGAGTTGCGCCAGGGAAGGCACGGAGGGGGCAGTGTCACGGGATCCGACACTCCGCTACTCGTTATCTGGGCACCAGCACCGGTCCCTACCCCGGCCTCCGCGTCCCCTACAAGGGGTCTCAGACTCCACAGCGCCCCCCGCCGCCCTCCCGCGCTCCTCACCGTTTCCATTTCAAGAGGCGCCGGCAGGGTTGGTTCGCTTTAGGAACGTATCTTTTGCGAGGGCGGGAGGGTCCGCCCCACGTCCGGTACCGCGACGCCACTTCCGCCTACGCAGGGAAGGCGCCAGCTAAGGACGGAACACAGGGAGCTTACCCGTCCCAGCGGCCTGGCCTCGGTACCCGCCCTCCCCCGGGTCCTCTAAGGCTTCACGGATCCGGCTGACGGCGAGGGTGACGGGACGGAGCCGCTTGTATTTAAAATGTTCTTTTTTTATTTGTCGCTTAAAAACAAACTTGGAAGAAGCAAAATCCAAAACTTGCCCTTTGCCTCTTGCAACGTAAATTATGTACAGTTCAGAATGATCGCTGATACAAAACATGCCAGGGACGAGGGCGCTGGGGGTGGAGGGAGAGAGGGCGCCTTAAAAGGGGGAACCATTTCATCCGTTGTTACGAAGGACCAACCTTGCTGTACAGGATACACACAACACAAAATAAAGTCTTCACGGGATTCACACTTGTCAGCGATTTATTTTTTAAAAAGGGGGAGGGTCCTGAAGGTGGGGAGAAGACTGTAAAGGGGAAAAACTGAAAATTGAGTATGTGCAAGTGTAAACCAACCCAAAATACAAACACGGGGGTGGGGAGGGCGGGGTGGGAGGGGGGATTCTGATGCAATTATACAGGCGGGGTACTTAAAAAAAAAAACAAAACCAACAACCAAAATTCCAACCTTGTAGCTTGGGTCTGAGTTAGTTTATATAAAAATTAAAAACTGTTTAAGGTTTCTTCACTAAAGTCTACAGGACTATCGGATACCTAGCATATGCTTAACAAAGTCTGCCCCATCCCCTCTTCCTAAAGCCAGGGCCCAAGCCCCAACCAGAGCCTGATTCACAGGAGCCAATCTCCCCCTCCCTGTAGCCTAGACCTTTTGCTCTTGGAAAAGGAACATCCAATGGCTTTGGGGGCAGCAGCCCAGTCTCACCACTGTCTGATTTAATTACAGTGGTTACTGTGGGGATAGGGGATGTTGTTCTCTTATACATTTGCAGCTTGAAACAGTTGAGGAAGCAGCTTTAAAAAAAAAAATCTCCCTACCCCCATCAATCCGCAACCCCCCAAATTCAAAAACAAAACAAAAACAAACCTAAAATCACAACAGCGACCGTGCTCCCCCTCCAGCAGGCCCACCCATCCACTGCCAACAAGTCCACTCCTACACTCCAGACATTTGTTTCTTGAAAATATTAATTACAAAATGCCCTTTGCCCACAGCCCCTAGAAGAGAACTGCATATAAGCTTCATCTTCATTCCCACGGCTCCCTACAGAGAGGGGTCTGGGGCCTCACCCACCTGACCTACCCCTACCCCCAGGAAGAGGTTCAACTGCAGCACAAGCTTGGGCAGAAAGGGGAAGGAAAGGGAGGCAAGGACCCCATCACCCTCTGGCTCCCCCTGGGGCCAGCTCACTTTTGTGCGTTATAACATAGTCCAACTATACAACAGGGGGTGGGAATCTCCCAGCCTCTATACCCCCACCTTACAGCAGTCACAGCCAGGGGGTGGGGAGAAGGGGTGAGGAAAAGGGCGGTAGGTTGGGTAATGGAGGGGGCCCCCCCACAAGGGGAGCTCCATGTGTCCGCCCCACACCCCCCTACCATTTATAAACTGGTTTTGTAAAAAGAAAATAGATATATTTATATAGAATATATAAAGCACAAAAATTAGTAGTTTTACATTTGCTCTCCCCGGGGGTGGGGGGAGAGGGGAGGGTTCTCACCTCCAGCCGGCTCCCCCATGCCCCACAAGACTATGTACAATCCCATGTATAAATAGATAAATACCCCCCACCCTCCCCGCGCTGACACTAAGCTCCCCCACCCCCACATCACCACCCCTTCCCACCAGACCAGCAGCAGTTTGGTGACTGAGGGAAAGTGGGAGCTCCGGGCCACACCCTGCCTCACTGGGTATGGGCATGCCACTCAGGGATAGCCCTCACCCTACCACCCACCCACCCCATCCAGGGGCTGGAGGGCAAATGGGCTCATGATGAGATTGGGAAAACAGGAGGAAGATATCCTGGTCCTAGGTTTAGCACACCCCTCCTGCCCCCATATCCAGATGGAGAAGGAAGTCCTAGAGCAACTAGGGGCCAGTCATCCCCAATCTTCATCATCATTAGCCTTAACCACCATCCCTTGCCCATAATTAAAAACAAAGATGGATTTTTTGTTGTTGTTTTCTTACTCCTCCTACCCCCTTCCACCCACTCAGAAGAGGGCAGTGAGGTGGGAGAGAGGGTTGGGGCAGTAGGGGCTTGGAGAGGGTCTCACATTTCAAAACAGCAAAAAATCCAACACTTAAATGAGGTAGGTGTGGGTGCGGGGTCTCCTTGCCCGGCATGCCTGGCTTGCCCTCCTGGGCAGCTGGGCGCCTCTTTCCCGTTCATGTTGCATTTGTCAGAGTGGAAAACAAGGAAACACAACCCATAGAGAGACAGAAACACAGAGGAGAAGGGGAAGACAGAGACAGATTGAGAGGGAAGGGAATGGGGGTGAGGGTGGGGGCAGGACCCGGCAGGCAGGGCCAGGTGTGGGACCCGGCCTTTGGGATTGTCAAGCTTAGTCAAGTCTCTTTGCAGCCTTGCGTTGGGCCGGAGAGGTCGGTGGGAGCAGCAGAGCTGTGAGGCCCGGCCACACATCCTCCTCCCCACTCCCTGCTGCCTCCCAGATGCTTCTGGGTAGTTCCCGGCCCATATCCCCCTCGAACCTGAGATGCCCAATGGCTGCTTCTGTCTGGCCCCTCCTGGAGCTGGGGGCAGAGATGCCAGCCTGGGGGCCGGTGGCAGGGAAGAAGGTTGTCCCTGGTGCCCAGGGTGGACTTGGCCTAGGGCCCTCTGCCCCAGCCTCCTGCTCCAGGGGCTCCGGTTAGCCGGCAGCCCCAGCCCTGGGTCCTGGCTCTGGCTGCTACCTCTCTTCCCCCTCATCCCTTTCAGGGAAGAGGTTGGGGGTGGGGGGACTCCCCTGCCTGGTAGCCTCAAAGCTTCTTAGTTCATCCATTTCCGACAATTCCAGGCTCCACAGTGGCAGGGGATCTTGTGCTGATCGTCCTCAAAGTCAAACTGATAGTCATAGGTCAGCTGGAAAAAGAAGAAGGCAAAATCAATGCCAGCACCCACAGGGGAAGTGGGGGAGGGCAGAGATCTGACCTGAGAGCAGTGGTCTTGGAACTGGGCTCTGGGGAAGGGCAGAGAAGAAGGAGCTACTTTGACACACAGGAGGCTTCCTCTCACCTCCTCTCCTTTGGGGATTCGCCGGCTGGAGATGATGATGATTTTATCCTCCTTGTCAAATGTCACAACTTCCGCCACACAGTTAGGCGCACAGGAATGGTTAATGTACCTGGGCAGTGGGACACAGTCAGGAATGCCAGGCAACTAAGCTGGGATGATTTTGGGTCCTTGGTTGGCCCACCCCCAGAGGGTCACCCTCAGGGACCACAAATCCCTCCCTCCTCATTCCCCTCTCACCTGGCAGGGCCTCCAGTCAAGGTAGCATCAATCACATGTTCATTATTTATTCGGAACATGTAGATGCCTCGGTTCTAGAAAGGCAGAAGTTGCAGAAGGGGCAAGAGTATCAGAGAATGGCAGTGGCGGTGGTGGGATGAGGTTGCGGACTTGAGCAGTGGCTTATTTCTTACTGTTTCTCCTGCCTCTCTCTTCTTCCTCCCACAGCTTTCCACCTGCTCCCAAGCCCAATCCAGCCCTTTGTTCCTTGGATGCACATGGACCATGCACCATGATGGCCCGTCAGCCCATACCTGCTCCTCATAGATTTTCTCCCGCCGATTGGCCACCTCGTTGCGAATGATGGTACCAATGTACTCTATAACCATTGTGTGCTTTTCTAGGTCCTTGGCTGCATAGAGCCCCAGGCCCTGGATACGGGAGCGAGCCAGATACACATTGTTCTTCCACTCAGTGCGCAGTCGCCGGTACTGAGATGACTTGGAGTGCACAAACTGCTTGCTGTACGGGGTGTTGGTCTCGCCTGTGAAGGTGCTCTGATATGCTTTGGACATGCTGGTGCTGTTCAGAGTGTGAGGCCTGGGAGGTGATACAGTCCATGACAAGACAGCTCTCCCTCAAACCAAGCACACCCCACCCACCTCCTCCCTGGGACATGCAACATGCCAGTTAGGGGCATGTGCTGCCTTGGGAATGGAGTGGAGGCATCTAGGTCTTGGCTCTGGTGATGCACCAACTAGGTATGGGTACCTTTCTGTCACCTTGGGTGGCACACAGAGCACAGGATGAGGAGAGGGGCTGGGGGAGGGGAGGGGCACGCCAATTCCCCTACACTGAGCCCGCTCTCCCATCTCCCCACCTTCCACCACCCTCCTGCCAAACCATATTCAAGGCCATGCTCCTCTGGGAGGTCCTCCCCAAGCAGCCCAGGCCTGGAATTTAAGTTCATGGTTTGTGCCAATGTCTGAGCCCTACCTCCTGCACATACTAGAAGCCCTGAAAATGGGGGCTGAGTCTCCCACACTGGGCTGGATTTTAATTAAAACTGGCTCTGAATTCATAGCCGAAAGGCAGTATCCTTTCCTTTCTTCAAACTGTCCCCTTCTCTGATGTACCATTGGGCTCTGTACAGACGGCTCAGTGCAGGGGAATGACTGCTGCCTGACAGAATGCCTTCTCACCACCCTAGGGCACCAGCCAAATTCTCACCCATCCCAGAGCAGTGGTTTTCAAACGTTTTTTATTCCTTTTTATTTAGCAAAAATCTTTCCTTTTTTACCTTTTTTTTTTTTTTACAAAATGTTACTGAACTCCAGTACATAAACTAGATGAATACGGAATTGTTCTGATTGAATCCAATTTGGGGAAAGGGATTATATGCTTAGGGAGGACCAAGTTCTGCCCACTCAGCTATGTGTTCCAGGGCTTTTCAGAACACACACAGTTTGAAAACCACTGCTGTAGAGCATCCAGGACCAGGGCTGACTGGGGTAGAGTCTGGTACTCT